GAAGTGCATAAAGTCAGATAAGTAAAGATGGTAGAAATGATGGGGGAAAAAAGAGGTAATGGAAACAAGCATTATTTTTCATGCAAACCAATAGTCATTGCATTGAAACATTAGCAACAGAAATATCTCCTAAGAATTGTATTTTATGGAATGAAAAAATATACCAAGCTGCTAAAGAATGTAAGAACTGCTATATCATGACTGCGTACACGAGCTCTCAGACTCCTCAACTACAATTAGTCAACAGAATAATCTTAAAGACTGTCTTTAAAATGGCTAAATCACATCAAGTTCTATTAAATTATACGTTGAAGAATTTTAATCAGTAAAGATGTCGTGAATGGTAATGCAGAAGTATCAGTCATGCTTCATGAGTCTATAAAAACACTCCAGTGCTTCTTTGTGTGAAGCTAATGTAAGCCATTTGACCTATGAAACTGACGGAGACCTGCACGTTTTCTTAAGTAAGCAGAGACCATTTTGATACATTTTCCAAATGCTTTTTCTGAATAATTGTGCATACATATAGTGCAGATAATCATGTAAACACTCCGGATGTTCAGCATACATGTATGAAGCAGAGAAAAAAATTTTAGCTTACCATGGGGACTAATATCTTTATTTGAAATAATGATTATAAATCAGGAAAATCTCACATTTTTCTCTTCAGGAAAAATGTGAGATCCTTATGTAGAACATCGCCTTATCCTGGCCTGTTCGGTGCAATGGCAACTGCCCATGGCTTTCTCCACTATGAAAACCAGTACAGTTTTTGAGCTGTATGATAGTGATATTCTGTTTTCTTTTAAAACTATGCTTAATATTTTAAATGTTGTTAAAAAAAGACGCTCCTCAATAACTAAATTTTAAATAGAAAAAAAGCCTGTAGAAGATAGGATTTGTGACATGCTTAAAAATTAGGAGTGGCCATAAGGTCTGGTTAAGGGAAAGGCCAACAGTTGGAACTAAGATATCAATTGATTCAGCCTGATTTTAAAAATAAAACAGCTGTCATACAGAAGAATACAAATTACTTAAATCTCATTTTTAAAAACACCATTACAATAAAATACACAAAATATTATCCAATAAGTTTTTTTTCCCCCCTCAACATCCTGTGGTATTGACCTTATGTTTGGCAGTTCTTTTTCCAAACACTAGGGGGAGGTATGACATAATAACTCTGGAGGGGTGGGGAGCGATCAGGACAATTTTCCTACAACTGGGTTTCTAATTAGACACCTTCCTCATCTCTGCTCAACTGCAAAATACTTTAGCTCATTAATGCTAACCAATAAACCGTAACATCCTTTTCTAGGAAAATTTGAACTTCCCTGTTCTTTTGTCCTATGGAAGCATCCCCGAAGGATACGCAGTGCAACACAAAATGCAGTATAAATGATTAATAAATCTGTGTATAATCACCACTCTTAAATTATCTGTTGCATGTAAGGCCTCAAAGCCTCAGCTCACGAGTCCATGTCTTTCGACAGAATCTACCCCAAGGAGACATGACCCTGCAGCTGCATCTGGTGGTGTGGCTAACCACTCAAACAAAACAACCACGACTTCTACAAAGTTCTACCTTCCTTGCTTAATACAGTCTATGCATGATAAACTATCTACTTGGAAAATACAGACATTTCAGGATCTTAACGTCTAGCTGTAAAGAGCTTCTCTTTGAATTTTTAAAGCGCAAAGCCTCCCAAGGGACATTTTGGATCCAGATCAAACTGCAAATTCAGACTATAGGTTATCTTATTGAAACCGGGAAATAAATAGCTCCTTTACTCGAATCTTTAAGCAATTATCCCAACAACAATCTTCAGAACTTCCTTGTAATTGGTCTGGATTTGATTTTCTTTGGATCGTGAATGATTCATGTTACAGACTTGTACGTTAGTCATTCACAATTCATAAATGGCAACTTAACTTCAGTATTTATGAATTGCAATCAATACTCTCGCAATCAAAAACTCACCTTTTCTATTTCAATGCTTCAATTTTCTTTCTCCACTTATTTATTTTTCTGTTGATGTTTTTAACTCTTTCCCAGAATGGCTGGATCGCCAGCCTGTTGTGTTCACTTGGGTTGGTTTGGAGAGAGTGTCGTGTGTGAATGAATTACAAACAGAAGTTGGAGAACATCAGCTGGGAATTCTGGTGGTGGTGGTGGGGTGTGTGTGTGTGTGTGTGTGTGTGTGTGGAGAGAGAGAGAGAGAGAGAGAGAGAATTACAAATCACGAATCCTAGAGATCTGTCAATCTGCTTTCATGTTTTACAGGTCACTGCGAAGGAGCTACAGAAAATGTGATGTTTCAAGGGCTATTTTGCCTTAAGGAGATAAAAATCAAACCGCCCTGAGGAACTCTGAGGTTGGAGTTGCCCGAAACAGCAGAACTGTTGCGTGTGCACGTGTTTGCCTTACCTTGACCCCGGGCTGAGGCGGAGAGGGGCACGGAGCGAGGAGAGGCCCCCTCAGCGCCAGGTGGGCTGCCCTTCTGCCAAGTGCCAGGGCGCAGGCTGCCTGGGGACCGGGCGGCCTCTCTCTCAACGGGCGCCTGCGTCTCTCCTGAAACACTTTCATAAGCCAGTGAGTCGCCTCGCGTGGGCGCCTGGGGACGACGGCTATTTCTCTGAGGAAAGTTCGGTGTTGACTGGCGTCCCTCGCGGCGTGTTGGCACCGACCGCGCGGGCAGCAGCGGGCCTAGCGAGCCTCCCCCCCGGAACTCCCACATTCTGCAGCAGCGCACCGGGAAACGCGGCCAGCCCGGGCCGAGCTGCACGCACACCGCTCCTCGCTCGCTCGCTCGCTCGCTCCTCGCAGTCGGGGGTCAGGGCGTGTGCCACACACCGCAGCTCCCACCTGCCGCCAGCCTCGTGTGTGTGTGTGTGTGTGTGTGTGTGTGTGTGTCGGTACATCCCTGTGCCGCTGGTTTATTATCAGGGTTCTGCGTTCTCTTTCCCGGGTGGGGAGGCCGGCGGCAGGGCCGTTCCCGGGACTGGGAGGGCCCAGGAAGGCGAGCAGCCAGGACAACCCCGGGCTCCGCCAGCCCCGGCCGGTCGCCCATCTAACCGAGCTAATCAATGGCTCGGAGGCGCCGCCGTCTCTGGCTCCGCCCCCCGCCGGGCTCTTCGCCACCTCCCATTGGGCGTGGGCCGAGGAGGCGGGGCCTGGCTCCTCGCGCGGATTGGCTGGCAGGGAATCAGTATCAATGTTTAAGCGGCGGCGTGAGGTGAATAGAGTCAGTCAGCGAGAGACGCTGAGGAGAAAGCCGGGCCGGGAAGCCGGGCGGCGGCGGCGAGGGCGGCTGGGGAGGCGCTTCTCCAACTGTTGAATTGAATTTTCACCTTTCATCCCCCTCCGCTGCTCGGCTGGCGGAGATGGATTTATTTGCTTTGAAATCCGCACGTTCTTCACAGGCTTTGGGGTGATTCTGACAGGCACCAGATTGAAAGAGACCACCCGTGACAGAAAAAGAAGAATTAAATTTTTTTTTTCACAAAAAAAAAAAACCCTCCACAGCAGACTGCACAATAACTATGCCCACCGACCCTGGACTTTTTGACTAGAAAATATTGAGAGAGAGAGAGAGAGAGGGAGATCGTGACTGTGGTGCAGGACTAAGCTGTGAGGAATTTCTGGAAGCCTGCTTTTTCTTTTTTTTTTTCCCCCAAGACTCTGGCCCTCTGAGGTACCTCCCGCCTAACCAGAAGGACAGATTTTTTTCATAAGTAAATAAATAAATAGATAAATAAATACACCTAGCAGAGCAGACGCCTTGCTTTTCCAGAGCCTCGGACTCCGGCAGAAAGAGGTAGAGTAAAAGTGCTGCTGGATTCCTCTCTCCCTCCTTTGGTCTCGCTTTTTTTCTTTTTTTCTTTTTTTTTTTTTTTTAAACCCCAACACGTAAACCTTTTTTTTTTTTTCCCCTTCTGTAGGGTGAGTCAGAGAAAGCGTTAGGAAGAAGCCGCAACTAGGGTCTGTGGAGAACCGTGAGGCGAGAGTGAACACGATTCGTTCCGGCGACCGCAGCACCTGCATTTCTGGATGTGTCATTCCCGGGAACAGCCGAACTGACCGCAGCGGCGCGGGGTCCGGCGCGGCGGGGCGGCCGCAGCTCCGCACACCCCCGGCCGCCCGAGTGGCCCAGGGAGCCCGAGCCGGGGCGAGACTGCAGGGACGCACCACCCAGCCGCAGCCCGCTCCTGCAACTGAAACATTTTTTTTTTTTTTTGAAAAAAAAAAAATTGAAGAAGAGAAGGAAAACCTGCACGTTGTTGGTTTCCAAGAGTCATCACTTTTCGTTCCTGGCCAAGGTTTTCCTTTCTTGATGAAGAGGACTGGGAGGCTCGACCGTTGGAAGGAGAAGCTGAATAGAAAGAAAAGAGAGGCACTCGACAGCTCGGCCTTATGAATGCAGAGACTGTTTCCCTTCTAGCGAGAGACTGAGAGAGAGAGAGAGAGTGTGTGTGTGTGTGTGTGTGCACGCGCGCCCGCGCGCCCCCGAGGACTGCGAGGGTGGCTCCCCCTTCCTTTTATTCCGCCCCCTCCCCCTTCAGATCTGCACGTCCAACCATGAGTTGCCTGTTGATTTCCTTTTGCCTGGGAAGAATAGCAAACTGGAATTAAACTGCTTGCAGAGAAGTCCCGGCAGGCGGGGAGAGGATGGGGTGGTAGCGGCGGTTGCTGGCTCGGCGTAGGGAACGTAGGGCAATCGCGGTGTGTTCCGCGAAGAGGGGAGGAGAGAGAGAGCTCTAATTCCCTCCTCCCAACAGACTCACACCACAAATGCTGATCAGGCTGTGGCTTTCTTGATTTGGGGGTGGGGGGGTGAGCCTTTTCCGAGGAAGAGAGGGCGGAGCCTGCAGGGGGAGGAAACTACAAATCGGGACAGTTCTTTGCGCTGCATTTCCTCTCCTCTATTTGGCTGCTGGGAAGAGAGAGAGAGAGAAAGAGAGAGAGAGAGAGAGAGAGAGAGAGAGAACGCTTGGCTGGGAGATGCAGTCCACCGCCGCCGCCGCCGCCTCAGCCAGCAATGCAAGATTAGATCTCTAAATGCAGCAAAACACTGCCTGAAAACAGAGCAGCCTGCGCAGCGAGCAGACATTTCACGGTGCGCCGGAGAAGATTCTGAAATAATCTGTGACTCTCGCGTCCCCACCAATTTCATCCCGGTAGACGGGTAACAAGTAAGGATTTCACTTTCCGATCTGCCTGGAGACACACCTCCCCTCTCCCTCCCCCGCCCGATGGGAAGCCTGCTCCGTAGGCTGGCGGCGGCGGTGGATTTGCGGCTCCCTAGCGGGAGACGGGGAAACCTCCGGATTCTTCCGCTCGTTATCAACCCTCCCAGGCGTGATTTCCTCCTTCTCGCCGGCCTCCTCGCTCAAGTTTGAACCCCCCCCCGAAGTCCGAACGGCAGGGACAAAGCCCCGGGCTCGCCCCCAGCCGCAGGGAGCCGCCGCCTTGCTCCCAAGCCCCTGCAGCTAGCTTCGCTGCACCCGCTGCTCTCGCCCGGTGCGGATGCTGTAGATCAACAGGTTCGGGGGGAACTTGAGCGGAATCCGGAGAGACTGCCCAGTGCCGCAGCCCGGGTGCGGAAGAACCGAACGACCCACAGACTTGGGACTCTCAGCTCCCGCGCTCGCCGAGGAGCCCGGAGCCCCAGCCTGGCGCGCACCCGCCAGCTCTGCCCTCCAGTCCGGCTGCTCCTGCCCCCACCCCGCCGGTCTGGGATGTACCTATCCATCTGTTGCTGTTTCCTCCTCTGGGCCCCCGCCCTGACGCTCAAAAACCTCAACTACTCGGTCCCGGAGGAGCAAGGGGCCGGCACGGTCATCGGTAACATCGGCAAGGATGCTCGCCTGCAGCCGGGGCTCCCACCGGCCGAGCGCGGCGGCGGCGGCGGCGGGCGCAGCAAGTCCGGCAGCTACCGGGTGTTGGAGAACTCGGCGCCGCACCTGCTGGACGTGGACGCGGACAGCGGACTCCTGTACACCAAGCAGCGGATCGACCGCGAGTCCCTGTGCCGCCACAACGCCAAATGCCAGCTGTCCCTGGAGGTGTTCGCCAACGACAAGGAGATCTGCATGATCAAGGTAGAGGTCCAGGACATCAACGACAACGCTCCCTCCTTCCCGTCCGACCAGATCGAAATGGACATTTCCGAGAACGCGGCCCCCGGCACCCGCTTCCCGCTCACCAGCGCGCACGACCCCGATGCGGGCGAAAACGGCCTCCGCACCTACCTGCTCACCCGCGACGACCACGGCCTCTTCGCCCTGGACGTCAAGTCCCGTGGCGACGGCACCAAGTTCCCGGAACTGGTCATTCAGAAGGCGCTGGACCGAGAGCAGCAAAACCACCACACGTTGGTGCTGACCGCCCTGGACGGCGGCGAACCGCCGCGCTCGGCCACGGTGCAGATCAACGTGAAGGTGATCGACTCCAACGACAACAGCCCGGTCTTCGAGGCTCCCTCCTACCTGGTGGAGCTGCCCGAGAACGCTCCGCTGGGCACGGTGGTCATCGACCTGAACGCCACCGACGCGGACGAGGGGCCCAACGGCGAGGTGCTCTACTCCTTCAGCAGCTACGTGCCCGACCGCGTCCGGGAACTCTTCTCCATCGACCCCAAGACCGGCCTCATCCGCGTCAAGGGCAACCTGGACTATGAGGAGAACGGCATGTTGGAGATCGACGTGCAGGCCCGAGACCTGGGGCCCAACCCCATCCCGGCCCACTGCAAAGTCACGGTCAAGCTCGTCGACCGCAACGACAACGCGCCGTCCATCGGTTTCGTCTCCGTACGCCAGGGGGCGCTCAGCGAGGCCGCCCCGCCCGGCACGGTCATCGCCCTGGTGCGGGTCACCGACCGGGACTCGGGCAAGAACGGGCAGCTGCAGTGTCGGGTCCTGGGGGGAGGAGGGCCGGGCGGCGGCGGCGGGGGCCTGGGCGGGCCCGGGGGCTCGGTCCCCTTCAAGCTGGAGGAGAACTATGACAACTTCTACACGGTGGTGACGGACCGGCCGCTGGACCGGGAGACCCAGGACGAGTACAACGTGACGATCGTGGCGCGGGACGGGGGCTCGCCTCCCCTCAACTCCACTAAGTCGTTCTCGGTCAAGATCCTGGACGAGAACGACAACCCGCCGCGCTTCACCAAGGGGCTCTACGTGCTGCAGGTGCACGAGAACAACATCCCCGGCGAGTACCTGGGCTCCGTGCTGGCCCAGGACCCCGACCTGGGTCAGAACGGAACCGTGTCCTATTCCATCCTGCCCTCACACATCGGCGACGTGTCCATCTACACCTACGTCTCCGTGAACCCCACCAACGGGGCCATCTACGCCCTGCGCTCCTTTAACTACGAACAGACCAAGGCTTTCGAGTTCAAGGTGCTCGCCAAGGACTCGGGGGCGCCGGCGCACCTGGAGAGCAACGCCACGGTGAGGGTGACCGTGCTGGACGTGAACGACAACGCTCCGGTGATCGTGCTGCCCACTCTGCAGAACGACACCGCCGAGCTGCAGGTGCCGCGCAACGCCGGCCTGGGCTACCTGGTGAGCACCGTGCGAGCCCTGGACAGCGACTTTGGCGAGAGCGGGCGCCTCACCTACGAGATCGTGGACGGCAACGACGACCACCTGTTTGAGATCGATCCGTCGAGCGGCGAGATCCGCACGCTGCACCCCTTCTGGGAAGACGTGACGCCCGTGGCGGAGCTGGTGGTGAAGGTGACGGATCACGGCAAGCCCACCCTGTCGGCCGTGGCCAAGCTCATCATCCGCTCGGTGAGCGGCTCCCTGCCCGAGGGCGTGCCCCGGGTGAACGGCGAGCGGCACCCCTGGGACGTGTCGCTGCCGCTCATCGTGACCCTGAGCACCATCTCCATCATCCTCCTGGCGGCCATGATCACCATCGCCGTCAAGTGCAAGCGCGAGAACAAGGAGATCCGCACTTACAACTGCCGCATCGCCGAGTACAGCCACCCGCAGCTGGGCGGGGGCAAGGGCAAGAAGAAGAAGATTAACAAAAACGATATCATGCTGGTGCAGAGCGAAGTGGAGGAGAGGAACGCCATGAACGTCATGAACGTGGTGAGCAGCCCCTCCCTGGCCACCTCCCCCATGTACTTCGACTACCAGACCCGCCTGCCCCTCAGCTCGCCCCGGTCCGAGGTGATGTACCTCAAACCGGCCTCCAACAACCTGACTGTCCCGCAGGGGCACGCAGGCTGCCACACCAGCTTCACCGGACAAGGGACTAATGCGAGCGAGACCCCTGCCACTCGGATGTCCATAATTCAGGTAGGACACTTTTAGTGTAGCTGGGACTTCACTTTTTTTTTTTCCCCCCCTCCTGGTTTTGGAGCTGTCCTGAAATCTTCTTCACAGGACAAGCCACACTATCACAGCAGTGACGGGGATGTGGGAGTGGGGAAAAGTTTGGAAAATGAACTGGTTTACACTTCTGACAGTGTGTATACAGTATATTCCGCATATAGTCCTTCCCGTGTAAATGAGCAAAGATCCAGTCCAAAGATGTAAATGTCTTACTTCTGTTCAAGTTTTAAAGTTTATTTTTTATGGGTTTATAAACAGCAGCGATAGCATTCATTTTGTTTCTTCGGGATTTGTCCACCTTTCTTTTCCATAACAAACAGTTCTTAGATTTTTTTAAAAGCTTTAATTATTACATAATTTCAATGCCAGTTAAAAACAGGCCAAAAATGAATGACATGTATACTCAAACTTAAGTAGTGAACTTCTAGAAGTAGAAAATAGCAGCCAATCAGAATTCTATGACTTAAATCAATTTCAATTGAATTCTCAACCCCTCAAAAAGTCAATTTTATATCTCAAAAGTGCTTCAAAGAACCTCAGTCTCATGTATTCTTCAGCTGAAACTGCAGCATCATGCGTTGGTTCAGCTGAAGCTTTTGAAGTGTGAGTTATAATTTGAAACATCTACAGAAGTGTGAATAAATGCAGTCGTGGGGTCATGATCATCAGCTATGCAGAGAAAGTTGCTGTTTTCTGTTTTCTGTTTGTTTGTTTGTTTGTTTTTGCTTTGTTTGTTTTTTTTTACCTGGTTTTGGGATTCACTGGGAAATGAGGAGAGCACACCTCTGGGTCATAGGCTTATTTTATGCAATTGAAAATGAGAAGCAAAGTACTCTGAACCCCTGATTGTGTTTCCCTTGCATACTGTATATTTTCAGTATATCTAGGTGATATTTAACATGAGCTATATAGTATGATACATAATTACCATAATGGCAAAAACTAAAGACAAAGCGTTAGGATTGGCGTTAACATGGGGGGTGGGGACTGTTTTGTCTTTAGTCACTGTCTAATGTAGCCACTATTGAGTTGTGATGGAGGAAAACTTAATTCTTGCTTATTATGAATGTGTGTTGCTACAAATTACTCTGGATGAGCAGTGCTTGAAATGCAAAATTGAACTTAACTAAAACTGACACTTCAGGAGGAAAATTAGTTTCGGGTAAATGAAAATAATTTGTTATAATTTTATGCTTTGAAAGGCAAATAACTTTTAATGACACTTGAATCTGTAATGTTTTTATTGTTAAAATGGAGTCGTAAAAATTCATAATATTATCTTTTGTAACATAGGTGCTTACTTACACTACTATCTAGCAAAACATATTTCCTATGAAATTATAATGTCCCTAGCAAAAGCTTGATACTACAAATCTTGGCTAAAGTATCAAATATTAAATCTCACTTCTGTAGAACTTACTGGATATCCTTACTCATGTTTTTGAAGTGTACATGAGCCTGAAAAGATTCATTGAAAGTTTTTCTTTGTGTAAAATTGGGATTTCTGGTAGCGTCTGTTTAGAAAGAGATATGCTAAAACATAAATCCACAAACCTGATGCATTTTATATAAAAAAACAAGTATTATCTATCCTTTTTGTGATTCTACGACTGAATATAAAAAGATGTCACAGAAGGTTGGTGTTTAGTCTTCCACTTTAGTTGCTATGAATTGAATTCTCTGCTAGTTTCTGGTAAAAATGAAGCTGATACTGTAGTGTTTTCAACAAGCCTTGCTTTTGGTCAAGGTAGTCAGGAACAATCTTGGATTGAAACATCCAGAAGGTTTTGAGAGGTTGCTGGTGCTTATATGCTGTATCTATCGATACATTTCTTTCCATGATGTTCTTCTTGAAGGTAGCCATTGCCTAGGGTCTTTGTTGGTCATGCATCTCCTTAGCAGTAAATCTTAAAGGAAAACACACATATACACAGGTTAAATCAAAAACACAAGACCAACCATCATAGTATTCTTCTAAAATTGTAACCCATACAAAAAGACACAAACTGAGGTTATTTCTAAGTTTTTGAAACTCTTTGCAAAGTGGATCAGTTTTCTATATTTTTATGCTATTTTTTTAAATTTCTCTAAGGAGTGCTGTGTAATTTGCTAATGTACTGATTTCCTTTTATATTGATCAGATTTACCCTAGAATATATCCTGGAGAAGAGAGTATATTAACTACTATGACTTTCTTCACCTAGTGTGCTTCAAACACAGTGTGCTGAGGTGAAATACTTAAAGCACTCAAGTATCCCATAGTCTTGTTCTAGGTGCCTTTATTTGTGTATATATTTCATACAGTCTGTTAGGGAACCACACTGGTAATCCACACATACTTCTGAAGGCAGACTTTTGATCCAAAATGGGTACTTGTTTTAACAAATTTAGTTCATCGTAATTTTCTGGAATCTTGTGTGGTTTTTAGAAGATTCACAATATATTCTGATTATTGAAGGGTAAGCAATTTCAAATTTTTTTTTTATAATATGCTGTTACTTTGCAGTGATGAGAAATTTTAGAATTTTATTAAGTAAAAAGCTCACATTACAGTTTAGGTTGAGATATCTTTACAATTCAAAGCATTTCTGTGCATCCTGGTTCTAAGAAAAAGTTTATATTTGCAGGTTTATAGTGATGAGAGTATTTTTGCTGAACTTGGGTGCAGAACAATGGTACAAGCTGGTGCAGAGTCAGTGCTTTGTGAGGAGAAATTTTGCTTTAGGTATTTTTCAAATTCCTCAAGCGAACTAAAGCCAGTGAGTGTTTAAATAGCAAATAAGTGAGTAAGATGTCCACCATAGTGTGATTCATAATGTGAGAGTTATAATAAAATAGTTTACTCATATAAAGTGATAGAACTAATTTAATAAACATGCAATTTGTAATACATAAGGCAAACAGACTGTCACACAAATTTGTAAAAAGATTTCTAGAAGTAATTTTGTTTAAGTTGTCTCACGTATTAATATGAAATCTAAATTTGAGCAGAGATCCCTGTTAATACCCGAGAATAACTTCCTACTATGGTTTATCCAAATTAGTTGTTAAGACTCAGGGTAACTTTTCAACAGGTGTTTGCAAACAAGGTCTCTGGGAAAAGGGTGAGAAAGCCAAGGACTTCCTAGTAATAGGACTTTTCAATTTGTTTAAACATGTTTTGCTTCTTTTGTAGCACTAAGACATACTTTCAAAGACAATATATTGAGCCAGCAGTAAAAGTTTTGTGTTAAAGTTGCATAAGGAATACATTCTTACTTAGTAAGTCCTAAAGATTCACACTGAAATTGGCCTTAAAACTTTTATATCAAAAAGGGAAAATTCCTTGAACTTAGTTATGTGACCTTTTCAATAAAGGAAAACCAATCTCATGGTAAATTCATAGAATCAATACAAATAGATAAAATTAAGATTTAAAAAAGATGTAGAGGATCAAGTATAAACAATGAACTATGTGTATCAGAAAGGTGTGAGAAGAAAAATGCCTTCAATAGCAAAAAGATCTACTTCTTGCCTTCATCCCCATTTCTTTAACAAAAGAGGCCCTAGAGAGACTCATTCAGGGTATTCCCCAAATCATGATCTTCAGTACTCTAGTGGATTAATGAAGTTAGTTACAAACACAAAATATGAGAAGAATTTCATCATTTGTAATTTTTTATATAGCTTGCTGTAATTTTTATTCTTAGGGATCACTAATTACTTTCATTGGTTAGTTTCTGTATATTTCATTGACATCTCTATTTATAGGGATTTTGGTGAGCTGCATCAGAAGAGAATGTCTTTTTCTTACTACATGTCTTCTGGAGTGTTGATTACTTATTTTTGTTAAATATTTTGAAAAGTAATTTCTAGTCTATTATTATGAGTATACAATCATCAAATATTTTCTATTTTATTATACATTAACTGTAATACAAAGAAAGTAAATAAAACTAATTACTATTTAGACCTTCTTTGAAGAAGATTTAAACGCAAAAGGTATTACTTTTATCTTTATTTTTACTCTTGTTTATTTTTCCTACATCTATGAGAATTTTAGCTTCTCTGCAAATCTGTTTGAATTTCTCCATTTTTACCATAAATGACACCCTAGAAGGTATGAACTAGAAACGTACATGAACTAGAAACTACAGGATTTCTTTTTAATACTAGTTGATGTAGCTTTCTACATTATAACTTTTTATTCATTAGTTCTTGGTTTACAATAAAATAAATGCCAGCAAAGTGACAATCACTGAGACTGGAAATTGTAGGAGTAAGATAATTGTTCGTTTTACTTGGGTTGTACAGGTAAAGCTTTGTAATTTTAGTAAATATTATATGCAACTCTGCACCATCAGTTTTGGGATTTTATTCTTGGCATCTTTTTAGAAATAATTATGAGGTGCTTTTGAAATATCATGTAAGAAAAATGTTTTTGAAAATTCTAACTTAAGTACTTGAGCATAGCTCAAGTAAATAGTCAAGAAAAAAAATGCATTTCCTAAAACAAGTAGCATCCTTTGACTGTATTTTTAAGCTTCCCTCACCATATTTTATAGAAAAGTTTCTCCATATATTCACACCATTATATCTGTTATTCACTTTTTCATTATATAGGTACAAATTCTAATGTATAACATTAAACAATTTATTTTTTGTCAGAATAATTATTATTTAAATGATCCCAGCTTTATCTCTACTAAGGACAACTATATTCATTTTAAGAGTGAAAACCTTCAAGATCTTCAAATAAATATTTAATAGTAATTAAGAATGCAACATACTTTTCATATTTAAGTCGTTTACAAGATTTTAAGAGTTCAAGTTTTCTGTTACTGCTATTGTTTAAGTAATATACTGTGGTAGAATTATATCTTTAAGCACAAAGGCATAAATTAAACATATTTATAATTTTTAAAGTTAATACAATTTTCTGTGTGGCTATTAAGATCAATCTGCCTATATTTACGTTAAACAAA